AAAACAAGATCACCTGCTGTCCTGAACACAGAACCTTTTACTTTCAAACTGACAAAGTTATAAATCCTAAAGAAAACCACCATCCTGTCATGGTGTGGTTATAAATCCTAAAGAAAACCACCATCCTGTCATGGTGTGATTATAAATCCTAAAGAAATCCACCATCCTGTCATGGTGTGGTTATAAATCCTACAGAAAACCACCATCTTGTCATCGCGTAGTAAGTCCATAATAAAAACTCCAATCCTGTCATCGCGTGGTTGTAAACCCTAAAACAAATAACCCACAATCAAATTAATTTATAGCTGAAATGGTGAAACACGAAGAGAGTGGATTTGAACTGTATCTGACTAAAACTGAAAAATGTGTTTCTTTGTTTGCTTGTTAAACATAAAGCTACAAAATGAGCTACTTGCTAAGCCACTGGGGGTTGAAATATGTCTGTATTTTAATAATAACTTTTGTTATAAAACATATAGTAATTGATCTAAAACTAAAAGGATGCCAATAATATAATGGTTTGATAATTTTTACACTAAGATAGTGAAAATACTGTTTATTACTTAAAGGCAGATAAACTTATTTCAGAAAAAACGTTTCAAGAAGAAAGTGGAGATTTTATCAGAGTAATTCTGGACATGGGGTTTTTCGTAGATATGCTTAATATCCTAACAGGACTTCTGTTTATTGGCTTTAACGAAGCTACACTAGAGCCACACATTAGACAGGTATGTAATCTACTAAGAATGAGAGGAACCTTAAACAAGAAATACCTGACCTAATTTGAATCGTTTCTTGACCTCTTCTACTTTTAATTTGTAATGTATAATATGTTTTTTTTTGAATTATCACAAATTTGGAATTGTTTTAAAACGACGACGGTGTTTGTATGGCTTTTTCTTTAATCAGTTCGACCTGGAGCATTCCACAATAGGGCTGATATTTGTTGTTTGTGGCGGAGTGTACGTCTGTGGTACTTTATTCTGGGGATACGTTTCTGACAGAATGGTGAGTACGTATACAATATGTTCAAAATAAAATCTTAATACAGGTTTGTCATTAGAATTGCGTCTACTTCAACCTATTGTCGGAATACTGGATCAGATATTAATCAAGTGAGTTGTTTGAGAGAATGTTGTGTTAGTCCATTGTTGAGAAAATGTTACAATTCTTTCTTGACTCGTGACTCTTGTTTTATTTCACTTACATTCTTAAATCTATATATAATTGAAAAATATAGGTTAGTATATTATAAATATATATATCAAAATCAGCAAGTCACGTGATAACCACATCCACCATAAATTCGCGGTGGAACGGAATGTATCAGAACTATATGTTGACATTGGCGATGCTTTAGTAGTGCGATACCACCCAAAATTGATCGCTTTTAAGAACAGTATCTCACAGCTCTTTCCGACGCAAAATATTCATGCACTCGGATCATAAAGATGTGTTCAGATCAGGAATTAGAATTCCAAAAACGGGAATATTTGTTTTACTGAGTGGCATTAAAAAAACAAAGGAATATGGATTTACCTGGGGCAGAATCCTTACTTTAATTCAGAAGTTTTATGACACAAATAAAATTAATAAAAAAAAATCACATATGATCAACATAATCCAGTTAGTTTATAACAGTTGTTGTCAAACAATTGGCTAATATAAATAGTTTCTCATCCACTATATTGTCTGTCGTATCCCGGCCGGTCTGAAGCCTCTGGTATTGAACGGAAGGCCTTGTAGACAGTGGATGTAGCAGTTATAGTTCTTGTTAATGAACGCTATTATAAATGAAGACATACCCGTCAAGCCCATAAGTACTGTACCTATGGATTTCTGTGCGATCGGACTGTCGAAATAGGCACTGGGAAACCGATTTTCTTTGTGCACTAGAAGGATTGCGGAAAATTGCAGGGAGTAGGGGTATGCTTTGAACATGACAACTTTCGGATAGAGACTTTTGCAATGTAAACTACACTGCACGGCAATTTTCAACATGCACGATCGCCAGGAAGAGAGCGTCCAGATATGGTGAGGCTCGTTTTTAGTATGACGTATTTCTATCACGTGATTTTACTTTGTCTTAATTTTTTGTTCTAAATACTGGAAAAAATGCTAAGTATTTGTTACACTCTTAGAATGACATATGTAGCTTCATTTTCCTTTGGTCACTATCAGTTTTTGTTGTTGATTAACTGTTGTCAAATAAAAATATGGCCATTCCATGTTTCTCAGAGTTCACCATATTTGTTCAGTTGATGAATATTTTATCACACAAAATGTTACGTTATACATGTGTACTGCTTAAGATCATAATATGTCGATAGAGGCCACCACTAGTTCAGTTTATAAATAACGAAGTCATATTTTAAGAAGTTAATAGTGAAAGTAAAGAAGAACATGTTTAATTATGAATGATAAATAGTTTGTTAAACAGTGTTTGATTTTAAAAAAAAAGAATATTGTTGTGAATGAGGAGGATTTTCTTAGAAGATCATTTAAACGCTATATGGCTACTGTTTGGGATGGGGGAGTAATGTAGATGACTAAATCAGTCAAATATAAATTCATAATGAAACGAGGATGTAAAAACATTTAAAACATATTCCAGAAAGATTCGGCAGAAATTACACACAGAGTGTAATAAGATGTTGAAATTTTATACCCTTTTTTTATATTATAAAAACTAAATAAAATATAATCAGATCACATCAAGCGCATGATAAACGTATCTTTCAACAGCCTCGTTCCCGTTCGCCTTTGTTATTTGCCAGTGTACTCTTTGGAGCAAGTTGTTTATTACTGGGACCAGCTCCATTTATTTCTATGGAAACGTAAGTAATTATAATAATTCTTATGTTGCAGTTTTTGCTATTATTTTATTTGTTGGTTAAGTAACGTATGCAAATGCATAACTCTTCATTATTTCGTTCGATACCAGCTACCTCTGGATGGTGATTGTTGCGCAAGGACTGATGGGATTAGGCTCAGCAGCCAAGCTTGTCGTGGGATTCAACCATTCCTTACAGCATACAATGTAAGACATTATACTTCATATAAGTTTAATGAAGTTACTAAATGCACCATTTATTTTTATTTTTTTTTGCAAATAATGCCTCAAAGAAATTAATCAGCTTGTAACAGGTAATTAAAGATTTAATATTTTATTATTATGAAATTCTACTACCAGTTATTTTCAAATAATAATAATAATACACGAAGTGAACAAACATGTTAATAAAAATAACGTTTCAAAATTTACCATATATTTAACGAAGTGTGTTTGTTCCATTATCAGATCACGAGGCTTTCCTGATGACATACCAACAATAGCGGTAGTTGCAGCAGCTTTTAATTGTGTTAACAGTCTCGGGTAAGTAGTAACGACTGTGTTAACAGTCTCGGGTAAGTAGTAACGATTGTGTAACAGTCTCGGGTAAGTAGTAACGACTGTGTTAACAGTCTCGGGTAGATAGTAACGATTGTGTTAACAGTCTCGGGTGAGTAGTAACGATTGTGTTAACAGTCTCGGGTAGGTAGTAACGACTGTGTTAACAGTCTCGGGTAGGTAGTAACAATCTCAGGTAAGCAGTAAGTAACAGCTGTATTAACAATCTCGGGTAAGCAGTAACAGTTATATTAACAGTCTCGAATAGGTAGTAACGACTGTGTTAACAGTCTCGGGTAAACAATAATAACTGTATTAACAGTCTCGGGTAGGTAGTAACAATCTCAGGTAAGCAGTAACAGCTATATTAACAGTCTCGGGTAGGTAGTAACGACTGTGTTAACAGTCTCGGGTAAACAGTAATAACTGTATTAACAGTCTCGGGTAGGTAGTAACGACTGTGTTAACAGTCTCGGGTAGGTAGTAACGACTGTGTTAACAGTATCAGGCAAGTAGTAACGACTGTGTTAGCAGGCTCGGGTAGGTAGTAACGATTGTGTTAACAGTCTCGGGTAGGTAATAACGACTGTGTTAGCAGGCTCGGGTAGGTAGTAACGACTGTGTTAACAGTATCAGGCAAGTAATAACGACTGTGTTAGCAGGCTCGGGTAGGTAGTAACGACTGTGTTAACAGTCTCGAGTGTGTAATAGCAAATATTTTTATTTTAAATATAAGTTAATCGCCGATGACATCCCCCCCCCCACGTTCCTCTTAATTAGGCATCAAGATTAGAGACGTGTATAAAATAGATTTATCTTTTGAGTACTATAAGTCACTGCCAATTTGCTGTGTTAGCAGGCTCGAGTGTGTAATAGCAAATATTTTTATTTTAATATAAGTTAATCGCCGATGACATCCCCCCCCCACGTTCCTCTTAATTAGGCCTCAAGATTAGAGACGTGTATAAAATAGATTTATCTTTTGAGTACTATAAGTCACTGCCAATTTGCTTTTCATTCAATACCAGAATTCATCAATTGGGCTGGAATATAAAAGACAAAATATTAGATGAAACGATATGTACAGTGTAATAGTTTAAAAGCTACGGTTTACAAGCCGAAAGCGAGCGGAATTTTGGAAATCCAATAGTCCTAATTGTAGATTTTTTTTATAGAAAGAAAATCATATTATTGTTGTTTCATGTCTGGCATAAATCAAATTCTTACACTTTTGGCCACTATTACGATGACTTATGTCAGCAACTTTGTTTCTTCCTACAGTGAATTCATCGGACCATCGATAGGTGGAGCTTTAGTAGAAAATGTAGGCTACAAATCTGGAACCATGGTTCTGTTAGGGATAGAAATGGCTGTTGTAAGTTAACACCACTTAACCTTATTCTCTATTGAACATACTTCAATATGTCGTTTTTTAAGCCTTTTCAAAGTCTTCCCAATATAGTATGTGGAACCAACTTCATCAGAGATTAAGGAAACTTTTAAAACGTAACTGTATTGGTTATTCCTAGTACTTACTCAAGGAAGTGTGAACACAGCCTAAGAATATGTAAACTCCATAAATTTAACACATCAACCTGTAATCAAACTTGGAAAAAACCACAGAATACAAACAATCGTACCACGAACGACCTTTCGTGAATCAAACGTACTTGAAACACGAAGTCGCATATTTGGACGATGGGAGAGAGAGAGAGTGGTCAAAGTAGCGTAAATTGCCTGATCAGCTGACCTAATCACACCATGACAGGATGGTGGTTTTCTTTAGGATTTATAACCACACCATGACAGGATGATGGTTTTCTTTAGGATTTATAATCACACGATGACAGGATGGTGGTTTTCTTTAGGATTTATCAGGGGCGGATTAGCCTATCGGGATACCGGGACTTGTCCCGGTGGGCCGATAGTCCAACTCAATTTTGGGCCGATCTACATAAAAGTATTGCT